AACACAGTGGGAAACTGATTTAAAAACATTACAATTGAAATTCTTTCCACACACCCTTAGTGTCAGAATAAAACACAGCCCTGTCTGACAGAGCCCTAGTCTACACCAGGGATTTATTTTGAAATAACTCCCCTTATTTCGAAATAACACGCAGAATGCCCACACTACCAAGCCCATTATTTTGAAATAACGGGCTGGTTGTTTTGAAATAACTCCTGCTTTTCACAAGGAATAATGCTTATTTCAAAATAGTGGCAGTGTGGGCACTCCACTGCTTCTATTTCAAAATAACTACTTCCCAGAGTCATTCAAAGTAATTACTCAACAGTGCTTCCTGGGGCCCTAAAGTGCACCACATTAAGGGAGCCTACTTTGGATTAATTGGAGGCGTCCCTGTAGTGTGGACATGCTATTTCAAAATAGTTATTTCTGGAGTTGTTATTTCAAAATAATTTCCTCGTGTAGACATGCCCAAAGTAACTGGCAGGCCAGCTTCTAGCAGAACCAGCGAAGGACTCCATTAACTCTGACATACTGCCTAGACCGTAGAGCACATGCCTTCCTAATCTTCATTCAAACAAATTCAACGAACAGCTGCAAAAAGTACACATTTTTTTAGCAGCAGTGAACGGACCTAATTCTATGTATTTGACTGAGTCTATTATTGATAAGGGAATGGTTGTGCCTTCCCCATTAACTTGATACTGTCTAGCAATACCATATCAACAGACTTAGGGACTACATAAAACACATCCTTTTTCCATTGGCTGGATTATTTAAGTCAGCCACACATCCTGAAAGTTCAGCTTAATTAAAGGGAAGGCAAGTCATCGGCACAAAACACCAGATTCCTTACCTGGCCTACAAGGCAATGGTCTAAAATGGGAGGCTGGTACAGAATTAAACCCTTTCATTTATCACTTGTTTTCTAAGCAATATGAATGTGAATGTCTGTTATTATACCAAACATGACTGCAATAAAGTATGGATAAAAGGCCAGTATCCTTACAACTAAAAGATGAGTCTTTATACCTTGGGTCCTATCTGGCACTCCTCATCCTGAATACATACTCAGAGCAGTTCTCATAAAAACATAAGAATGAAGTGGCCATACTGGGTCAGACCAAAGGTCCATCTAACCCTGTCTTCAGACAGTGGCCAATGCCATGAGCTTCAAAGGGAACATTCCCAGCTTCTGGCCAACAGAGACCAGGGAAATCATCCCTACCCATGAAAGCACAGGGAAAAACAAGACATGACTGAAAGCTGTACACTTTAACAAGAGCAGCTAATGAATGTAATTTTGTTGTACGTGTTCTACGTGATTTGCTGTGTACCAACCCAAGTTTTGTTGGTAAAATTAAAATAACTAGGTTTTTATGCTTTTTCCTTTCTGGAGATCAACTAGTCTGATAATTGCCCATTAGTCAATGAAATAATCCAAACTGAGTAAATAGAGCTGGCATTTTACTGAACACAGGGAACATAGATCAATGCTACAGTATATGCTTGATCAGTAACTGAGGCATGTAGCTTACTGCACATGCCTTGTATGTATGAGGTCCCAGGTTTGATACCCTCCTTCTTGTGGTCAGGATGCTAGCCTAGGACTTACAAATCCCCAATTCAACTCCTTGCTCTGGCAGATATCCAGCATGAGCTTGGGCAAGTTATTTAGTCTCTGTCTCAGTTCCTCACCTGTAAAATGGGCATAATAGCTTTTCCCTGCCTCTTAGGGTTTTACAAGGAAAAATATATTACATATTGTGAGGCATTCATATACTATGCACATGGGGGCCACGTAAGTACTTAAGATAGACATAGTCTCCAGTGGTAAATAATATACATATATAGCAAGAGAGCATTCCAAAAGATTATTTTGTTTGTTTATATTTTAATCCTGTACCAAAGCTGGTCAAAGAAATTTACATACGTGATGGACCAGGGAGTCCTGGAGGTCCTGGCATACCCGGTAAACCATCTAGCCCTGGAGTACCCGGTAATCCAATTGTTGCTCTCCCTTGGTCTCCTGGTTCACCAGGAATACCTGGAATACCTGGAAATCCCATGGGACCTGGTGCCCCTAGAGAGAACAAGGCATATACAGTGTAGTTAGCCAATATTCCAGCAGGATGTGGATCTAGATATTTTTCATTTTATGAAGATTACCACTGCCCATGGGGCTGATATTATGCTCATGCAGGAAGTCTTATAATTGCATATACAGAGAAGACAATAAGGGTGTGTCTAGACTACATGGCTCCATCAACAGAGCCATGTAAAGTAGTTTACCCGACATAGTCAATGAAGCGGGGATTTAAATAATCCCCACTTCATTAAAATAAAAATGGCTGCTGCGCTGTGCTGACAATCAGCTAATCCGGCACAGCGCAACAGTCAAGACGCGGATCGGTTGACAAGGGAAGCTTTTGTTGACCGCTCTGGTAAACCTCGTTTCATGAGGCATAATGGAGCGGTCGACAAAGGCTTCCCTTGTCGACTGATCCGCGTCTAGACTGCCGCGCTGTGCCGGATCAGCTGATTGTCGGCACAGCACGGCAGCCATTTTTATTTTAATGAAGCGGGGATTATTTAAATCCCTGCTTCATTGACTATGTCGGGTAAACTAATCTACATAGCTCCATCTACGGAGCCATGTAGTCTAGACACACCTAAATAGCCACCTTTGAGAGTCACACTTTTTTTTTTTTACTATTATAAAAGGCAACTTCCTAAGCCAGTGAAAATACTGCATTAATGCAGAGTCTCAGTTAAGTCACATTGGTTAGTGAGAATAACTAATTAAGCAAACTCATGAAATATTCTGAAAATGTGAAGCACAATTTCAATGCTCTATTACTGTGACGGAGTGAATAATGTATAGTGGAGCACCCTGTATCCAAATGCCGTCCCAGAGCCTGCACCTGCAATCCCCTACATCCCTACTGCCTGCCCCAAGAGCAGCTCAGAGCTCCTCTCACACTCCAGATCCCTTAATCCAAGACCAAAGCCTGCATCCCAACTCTCTGCCCAGCATGATGAAAGTGAGCGAGGATGGGAAAGAAAGGGAGGATCAAGTGAGCAAGGGTGGGGCCGAGGAGGGGAGGGAAGGGGGCGGGGCAAGAGTATTGATATTTGAGGTAGATCCTGGATTGCACTTAAATTCAAAAAGGTTGGAGACCACTGGCTTAAGGTTTCCAAGGTAAGTACTTACACTCAAAAGTCACTTTTAACAGACTTCCTAATATTTACTTTGAAGTATTCTGTTTCTGTGAACAAAAAATGTCAGCAAACTCATTCGCCAGGGAACATATAAACACAGGAAGGCCATGATTGTGCTGCATATTAACAGCAAATATGCTGAGATATGCCCACTGACTTCTCAGGGCATCAGATATAACTAGTGTTATTTGGAAATAACAGTCTGCATCTACACAGCAGGCAGTTATTTTGAAATAATGTTGAAATACTGTCAAGCTGAAGGACTTCTTACTCGGACTCCTGTAACTCTCATTGTACGAGGAATAAGGGAAGTCAGAGGAAGAGTGCTCTATTTCGAAATAAGTGCTGGGTAGACGCTCCCAATTTTGAAATGAGCTATTTCGAAATAAGCTACACAACTGACATAGCTCAATTTGCATAGCTTATTTTGAGTTAAGCCCTGCTGTGTAGATGCACCCTGTGTGTCTACCATTGCGAATGAGATAAAAACTAGACACAGGCTCTCCCAGGTTGTCTGTCTGTATCTCTGAATTAAATTGTTTTCACGTACAATACTATTCCTCACATGGGTTACAACAGTCTAGCTATTGCATTTGGCAGTGTGTAAGTGAAGTTATGCATGTTGCAATGCCTGAAGAAGGGATTTCAGCACCTCTATTATTAAGTGACTCAACAGCTGTTCAATTCATACACAAGCAAAGATGGCTACAAACCCATGGGCAAAGAGTATGCTAACAGCCTGCTTGGAATTAGTATAAGCAGATGCTTTACCTTGAAAAACAGCTGAGCGACCTGGGGAGCCAGGGAGGCCTGGCAAACCAGGAGTCCCTTCATCTCCTCGAGGGCCTGGACTCCCTGGAGTCCCAGGATCTCCGGACACATCCACTGGACAAAAAAAATATTAAAAGGAAAAAAACTTAAGAATGGCCTGTAGGAAGAGTCCATGTAGTCCACTCCCATCTCCCACACTGGCCATTGCTCTGTGCTAGTGGAAAGTGCTGATCCCTTTTTAATGGGCCTATTCACCCAATACAATAACACTGGCATAAATTTCTCCCTATCCCCAGCTGGCGATTGTCTTATTCCCCAAAACACTGTTAGCAGAGGCTAATTTCTACTCTCACCACTGAAGCCACAGACGTTCTCATCCGTGCCTAATTCATCCTGGAATTTCCTACATTATTCTCCTTAATAATATTCAGCAACAGCGAGAGAGTGAGAATACTAAAGGGGCATTCAACTTATTATTTGCAAGAGAGAAAAGGGGGTGTTTTCTCTTAATAGCACTGCCACACTGAAATAAGCCATCGGGGTGCTAGATATTTTTCTGGGCTTCAGATACACAGGAAAATACCAACACAATACATCACCAATGTTCTAAACATATAACTCCATCCACCTGTATTCACACAACATGGCATTTCATTTGGAGTTACAGATATATGGCAAAATCTGAAGCTGTGCACACTGGGTCAAATATACCCCTGTACTAACACCACTAAATCAATGGTATTAATTTGGCTCCCTAAAACAGTGATGGTGAATTGATAGGATCAACTCTACTAACATGAAAAAATAAGCAGCACGTAATAGAGTGGATTAAAATGGGTACATTTAAAATGACTTTGCAAAACAGCATCTGAAGGGTTACCTGAGAAAAGTCCATTTTCTTGATCAATAGAAATAAGAGGGCCTGGAAGACCCATTTCACCTAATTCACCCTGTAAATTTAAACAGATTCATATTGTTTTCAAGTTCTTCAAAGACTGGAAAGCAGAGAAGGAAGAGTGCCTGATATTATGAATAGATCTGCCTTCGTGGCAAACTTAATAGTAATTCCTTGATGGAATATGGATTTCTTGTTTTAATGAATTATTCCCTTTGCTCTTCTGTTCTTCCTTATGATCTCTGTGTTCATGACTAATTCACACTTTTTGTATAATGAAACGAAAGGTGTTTTTATCCCTTACCTGCTGCACCCTGCTAGCTGAGGAGAGTGCACTGGCATCTTTGCACCATGTTCACAAAATATTATTTATCAAAGCAACATATGGACCAGAGTCAGTTTCATCATCTCTGCTCACCTCATTCTGTAGAACCCCTTGTTAAGAAGTCCACATGAGTTACTATTAATATGTGCATGTCTAAAGCACCCATAACTGTAGATATTTACAGACCATTCAGCCCCAAAGTTCAGTAATTTGAGCTTTGTCTGGTACTCCAGCCATGCCTACCCTCACCCAAAAAATAAACTAGCGTTGGCAAATGTCACCTGGCCTCTCCTCACTAGTGACCTGATGCTGTCTGCTCATGAAACAGTATTTTGTTGCTTCTTCTAGCAACAAAAGGAGGAGTTACCTTCATTCCTTGCACTCCATCCAGCCCAGGAAAACCAGCAAGACCCAACTGACCCTGTCAAACAAACACAAGACAACGTTACCTTATAAAGCAAGAAGGGATGAATCTTGGGAGGCCTCATTTTAGTGCTCTCCACTGCCTGTGTTGGAATCCTTGTCCCAGTCTCTTGTCCTACAGGAGGTTTGCAGGAGCAGTAAGATTAGCCCATGGGAAAGCTGATGTAGCAGCACTGTCTCCACTCTCTCATACTGAGTAACATACTGGGGCTCCAAAAAGACACTTTTCTCGCCTTACTCAGCTAGGAAGGTGCCAGCAGTGATGGGGTAGAATGTGAACTAGGGAAGATCACGATGTCATTTCCAGGGGCCTGACAGAATTGCTGGGACTGGTGCTGAGGGAGAGGATGTTCAGCAAACCATGTCCAGTATGTAATTGCTCTCTCCTGCCTTCTCGTCTCTCCCAGTTCACATGCACTAAACCATGTAACTTTAAAATCTTATCTCACTGACTATCCATTTCCCAGTAATGTGTTGCAATATGATTCAGAGGACCCTGAGGCTGATTATAGCTACCAAAATTCCCTTTGGCCTTAAATGCACTACTGTCCTCTCCTGGAAAGACTATCAAACCTATTCTAATGTAAATAATAAGCCAAATTGTGGTTGCATTTAAAGGGAATTCTTTTAGAGAGACATCTATTGGGTTCTATTTCAGCCTGTGATCCTGAAGAGCCACAGACCACCTCATAAACAGCATTGTTGAGAATTCCTCTGCTCAAGGCTCATTTCTGTCTCACGATCATTCACCTTAAAGTATATTGGGAAAGACTCTCACAGTATCTGTGAAAACAGGGCTAGACACGAAAACAGTGAGGACCCAACCTAGCCCCTCCACACAGACTTGCCAATGAGCGTTTAATGCCTACAAGTAAGTTGGTGAAAATGGCTAGGATAGTTGTTCTGTGGCCACATTGCATTGGTACATCTAAGGGCACAAGGCCTTCACAGCCTTTCTGATACTTAATGCACTGACCATTTGCACTGTCATTTGTGAAGGACACTACGTGAAGGGTGGCCCTCACAGGAAAAGTAGGGAGTTGGTTACACTGGGAGGGAGTGTAGAGTTTCAGATCTTTGTGCAGGATACTTTCTAAACCTCTGGTTGTGAAAGTGGTTAGAGAGGGAAAATCTTACATTGGTTTTCCAAACATTCTTATGTACAACTCTCCATTCCTCTGTGACATTGACATGGAGCCAATTACGGAGGGCAGGAGATGACCTTAGACACTCAGATGACTTCTCGAGATGTTAAAAATATTTCCAAAATTAAATAAGCCTGGTACCTTTTTCCCTGGAATCCCATCAAGTCCATCGAATCCCATTGATCCCTAAAACAGCAAAATATGTATTATTTAACATTTCTATTTCTTTCATATTCAAAAGTTACAGTCAGCTTTAAGCCCCATTACGCTAGGTACTGTAGCGACACATACAAATGTATGAATCCTGGCCTAAAACTTAACATCTAAAGGAGAAACCCTTACCCCACAGAAATCAATGGCAAAACTATCACTGACTTAAACAGGGTCAAGATTTCACCCTAACTAACTTGAGTATCAAGAGACATTTTCAGAAGAATTCAGTTGTATACAGGCCAAAAGTTGCTCATCTTGTGTAATCATTTCCATATTCAGCACAGTGGAAGTGCTTATGAACAAAATCTGTCCTGGTTCCTCAAATTACTGAAACTTTGGTGTCTAATTTCACATTGTAAAACTAAGGTCATTTTTATCTTGAAAAATAATTTTGAAGTACTGAAGGACAAAAAGCAGCAGAATCCTTTTGGTCTTCATGTTGAATGTGAAAAGAATCCCTCTGCAGGTTGTTCACGGTAGTCTGAAGGATCACTTTGAGACTATTGCAGGGCTCGGAATGGGCAAGTCCCCTTGGCAGACACCATGTTTGAGATACCAACAGCACTTCTTAGAATAAGGGGAATGGTCTCAGGTGATTGATCCCTTTAAGGGAAGAGAGGGCCAACCACACCTATGCTACAATTAATTAGCTGCTTCCCAATCTGAGCAGGTGGGAGTCAGGAAGGTTATGTGGAAAGGAGTCAAGCGGAAAGGAGAGCCAAGGTCTGAGAATGGTACACTAAGAGAACCCGCCTGGGATTCAAATGCTGCATACCAGAGTCAGAAAGAGTTTGAAAGGTAGCCCAGGAAAAGCTTAGGAACAGGTCCCAGAACGCAGGCTGAAGAGAAGACCCAAAGGGCAGAAGAATCTTTTGGTTTTTGGAACTTTTTAGTTTGGACTATTGCTATTCCAGAAGAGTTAATTTTGTGACTTGACCGGAAGGCTAACCACATCTCCAACACAGAATGACATGCAGAGATTAGCTTTTGAGATCTATCAGTTAGCCAGTTTTTAATCCATGGGACGCTGCAAATCTAAAAGCCCATATCTTCACTAGATGGAAGATCAATGTTGCTGCGATCGATCTTCTGGAATTTGATTTAGCGAGTCTAGTTAAGACTCGCTAAATCCAACTCTGAGGGCACCCCTGCCAGTGACTAGTACTCCTGCTTGTGTGAGGAATAAGAGAAGCCGACAGGAGCATTTGCTCCCGTCAGCCTCCCCAGTGGGGTCAGTGCCAAGCCTGTCTTAAGGAAAGATGACTCCAGCTAGGTAAGTAGCTGGAGTTGCACATCATAAGCCAACCTTCCAGGTCTATTGTAGATCTGGCCTGCATGACCTAAACTGCAGGTACAAAAAACAAAATATGGGTTTAAATATCAATGTCTGCACAAAAGAAGGCTAATGAGTAAATTCTAGTCCTATATGAGAGGGACTCCAAATATACAGTGTATTAGTGCTCATGTTCTTAGGAGAAGAAAAACAATGGATCTGGGGCAAAACAAGAACATGGGATTGTTAAGATTTAAAATCAAAGGAGGCATGTTCATTTTTTCTTACTCATGACACTTCTTATCCTAGAAGCTGGTCACATCTTTGGAGCAAAGGCACCAAAACTTGCCCAGATGAGGAAAGGAACCCAACGTCCTTATCTTGTCAGCAGAATCCCTTCAATTCGGTCTTCCATTAAAGCTGAGGATGTACAACCCATAAGAGGTGCTCTGCACTGGAGATCACAGAGCTGTTTATTGTGAATATCAGTTGCCTTTTTCTTCTGCTTGTGAACTGATCTCAAAGGTCTGTCATTTGAAAGGCCCAGGGCAAGGTGGCAGTAGTTACAGTCCCAGATGACAACAGCATGGATGAAAGCTTTGGTGATGGAATTTGTGAGGACTGAGCATGTTCTCCAGAGTCATGCTGGATGTACATTTGGATATATAGATGAACAGGTTTGCAAAGGACTGAAAACAGGTGAGACTACAAAATAAGAATGGCCAAATAGCAGTATCTGCTCCAATGTTCCCTCTAATCTTTTCCAACCATGTGCGGGTTAATTCTTTTGTATGTACTAAGGCATGTGCAGATGTGAACCATCACTAGAAACAAAACCTATCTGCAGGCACTCTGCTAATCATCTGAGGTGACATCTAAATCTCTCCTGCAAGTCTGCACAAGTGCAAAATTTACAGGGAATACTGATCTGCTCATATCCATTCAAAATGCTGCTGCAGAGATAATTTTCCGTCTCTCACCTGGACCATGCCATCCCCCTTTGCATCTCTATTTTAACCCAACAAGTTAGTTGTAATTTCTAAGCCCCTTCATAGCCTATTCCCATTCTACCAATCATCTCTGATTTACTATCTAGATATCAATTCTTGACTCTGATCAGCCTGCATTAGTAGCCTCTATTGTTCTTCTGTCATGTTTTCAAACAAGCGCCTTCATGCTTTATGCCATGTTTGGGAAGTGCTCCTCTTAAACATCCACAATACCTACCTCACCATCCTCCTCCAAATGCCTCCTCAAAGCTCCTTTGCCGTCACATTGCAAACAACTTGACAACTATTAGGCTGTTGGTGGCTACTGCTTATTAGATTGATCAATTTTGTCTTACTGTTTCCTTGAATCCACCAATCTCTCTCTGTGTGCCTCTCTGTTGTCTGACATTTAGATCATAAGCTCTTTGGGACAAGTATCATCTTTTTGTTGAGTGTCTGCACAGCATCTAGTATATTCTAGGCACTGGCAACACAAACAAAGACACTTTGCAAACAAGTTGAAAATTCCAGTCTGTACATCTCATGTCAAGAACAGGGATTTAAAGCCACCGTAAAGTTACCTACCCTGCCACCTGGTAAGCCAGGGACCCCCTTTTCTCCTTTTTCTCCGATACCTCCAAAGCCCTGTGGGAAAAAGCCAAAGTTGCATATGTTAAGTCCCAGGTCTATCTGGAGAGAAATGTTGTAGGGCCCCAAGGTGAAGTGAGTGTATCAACTCTCTACAAACATACACAAGAGAAGCAAGGTTGGGTTGACCCTCTACTGGGCCTCCTATCTCCAGAAAAAACCTTCCTCACAGACAATTAGCAGTATGTGCAGCATGCTGGTTGAGATGGAGTTTGATTTTTTTAAATAACAAAAATACATTCTGAAACTGAGAGAAGGAAAAACTGAAATGTTTTGAGATTGTCAGATCGAAGCATTATCAATCCATGGCGCATCTTCTACTCCCTGGGTCACGTGTCAGGACAGATCATTAGCAATCATGTGAGTGCCATGTTAAATGCTGCCCACCGACTCACTCAAGGAGAAGTTTGCAGTAACACTGAATCAGTAATCCATGAGCTGAAGTTATAACAGTACATTAACTTAATGAATCATAACATGTCACTTGACATTTACACAGCACTTCAGGAACCTGTGTAACTATTATTAACCCTAAATATAGAGGAGGAGGCTAAGGCACAGAGAATTTAAAAATCACAAAATCACACAAATCAGTGGCAAAATTGGGAACAGAGGGTATGTCTTCACTACAGCGCTAATTCGAACTAACTTAGTTTGAATTAATTAATTCGAACTAACTTAGTTTGAATTAATTAATTCGAACTAACTTAGTTTGAATTAATTAATTCGAACTAACTTAGTTTGAATTAATTAATTCGAACTAACTTAGTTTGAATTAATTAATTCGAACTAACTTAGTTTGAATTAATTAATTCGAACTAACTTAGTTTGAATTAATTAATTCGAACTAACTTAGTTTGAATTAATTAATTCGAACTAACTTAGTTTGAATTAATTAATTCGAACTAACTTAGTTTGAATTAATTAATTCGAACTAACTTAGTTTGAATTAATTAATTCGAACTAACTTAGTTTGAATTAATTAATTCGAACTAACTTAGTTTGAATTAATTAATTCGAACTAACTTAGTTTGAATTAATTAATTCGAACTAACTTAGTTTGAATTAATTAATTCGAACTAACTTAGTTTGAATTAATTAATTCGAACTAAGCTAATTCGAACTAACGAATTCGAACTAAGCTAATTTGAACTAACGGATCCAGACTAAAAAACTAGTTTGAATTAGCGTTTTGCTAATTCGAACTAGCATGTCCACATTAAGTGGACCCTGAACCGGGGTTAAGGATGGCCGGAAGCAGTGCCG